GCCTTCGCATCATTAGTCCACCTACTTTGAATCAAAGTCCCGGGCAAATATGTGTAGTCCAATTGCTTCAAAATGTGAAGTTGATGGCGACACGGAAGTCCAACGGTCTCGAATTTTTTGCAGGAGCAAATTAGAGTTTTCGTACGAGAATCAAAACTAATTTCAAATTTCCTATTTTTTTCTGCGTACTTTGACAAAATATAATGTTGACATTCATCTGATAAGGACTTAATCTCTGCCTCAATCCGGTACAATGTCTCCCGTGTAAGTTCATCTTGGAACACACGAAAAGATTCGCGGGTAAAAATCGCAGCGGCATGGCTTTCAAGGTCGACCAGTTTTGTGATCTGGAAGGGCTTCGTATGGGAACTTAAGTAATCCGCTTTCAACTCGTTCATACGCATTCTACTAATTCCATCTTCAATTGCACGAACAACATCTAAATATGTCTTCTTGTGTTTCAGTGCAATAGCTAGTGAAGCATTCATAGACTCGCACCTTTGTGTTGAGCGAATATTGGCAAAGAAATGACCGGTTAGATATGCTTGTGCCCATAAGTGTCGTGTATTTCCCTTCTCAATCACCCATGGATGCTTTTGGACGTTGAATTCTGAAACAATCGAACGCCATTGAATATCAAATTCCTTGGTTGTCCACCAGGAAGCCATGCATTTTGAGAATGCTGCTGTAAACTTTGGGTCACCAATGTTAGCTTGTGCATTGCGAGAAAGATGCCAAGAACATAATCTGTGCTTAGCATAAGGGATAACAGATTTGATAGCCCTCTGCATTGCCCTATCCCCATCGGTTACAACAGAAATAGGTGATTTATTCATCATGGCTTCTAAAAAATTCTGTAGCACCCACTCGAAAGATTGAGACGTTTCGTCAGCGATTATGGCAGTGGCAAACACAATTGTGTTATGGTGATGATTGACACCAACAATAGGCATAATTGGTCGACCATACAAATTATCTTTGTACGTTGTGTCGAACGCAATTACATCACCGAAGCATGTGTAATCCGATCTCGATGTAGAATCCGACCAAATAAGATTATACAATGCCCCCGATTCGTCTACCGAGTATGTCATAAAAAACCCGGGATCATCATGTTTCTTATAATCAAAGTAGGCAATAAGCGCATTCACATCCCCATCGACGATTTCCTTTGCTTTACCTCTTTGAAGTGCATTGTAGAGGTCTTTATGTGTAAATCCAACATTATGATAGCCCCCTGCCTGCTGCGTTAAATAGTTCATTACTTGTGACGTGCCAACACCGACCTCTTTCAATGTTGTTGCCTCATCGATATCAGCCTTACTTACAGCTCGATTAGAACGCATAAATGGTGTCATAGCAGATGTGCACAATGCATGATTATGTTTCTGATCAGACTTACTTATAACCCACTGATCGTTTGTATTTGTTGCTGTAACTACGACTCTAGCCTTACATCCTGTTCTTGTGACTGGCGTATGAGCACGTTGACGATCAACAGTATTGACTTTTGATACTCGAAACCCTTCTTTGGAACAACAAAATTCTTGTGTCTTCACATTCCCTTCCACGTCAAGCCGTGTTGTTCCCTTACGTGCACTAAACCCATGTTCCCGTGCGAATCCCTTGTAAAAGTGCCAAGCTTGATCACGTGAACAGAAGAGCTGACCAACCAATCTGTCAGATTCATCAACATTATGTACTTCATGGCATTCCTCGGTTGGCTTAACATTGTCTACATCAGTATTATCCATGGCAAAAATTTTGTTGTGCAAGTTCAGTGCTCCAGGAGTTGATGGATATGTAAACGAAGGTTCATTTTGAACATGTTTCTGTAGTTAAAGGGTGGGTACAACATTAAATTCGCAGTACATATTTAGGTATGTACAATAACTACAAGTATATTATCATTTTAAATTCGCAGTACACTGTTAAAAAAATTGAAACATAAATTACATAAGTTTTAAAAAAAGTATCGATCCTTTTTATAAAAAGTATGGACACTTTCAATATAATAGGTAAACATATGATGTAATAGGTAGCCCTTATATAATGTAATAGGTAATGGTTATATTGTAAAGTGTCTATCCTTTTTATAAAAGTGTCCATACTTTTTTCACTGTGGAAAACATTAATTTAAGGTTATCTTTTGAGTGAGTTTTAAGATATTAATTTAGTAATTATAGGCGTCTAATGATTTATTTTTTACGTTACGGTATATATTATTATTAAATTTAAAATTCTAAATAATATTTTATAAATATAAAAACAATCAAATAATTTTTTGTGCAAATGAAATTATTAAATCAATATTGTAGGTGGAAAACATGAAACATACTTAAAAAATATTGAAACATAAATTACATATCTTTAAAAAAAGTATCGATCCTTTTTATAAAAAGTATGGACACTTTCAAATAATAGGTAAACATATGATGTAATAGGTAGCCCTTATATAATGTAATAGGTAATGGTTATATTGTAAAGTGTCTATCCTTTTTATAAAAGTGTCCATACTTTTTTCAATGTGGAAAACATTAATTTAAGGTTATCTTTTGAGTGAGTTTTAAGATATTAATTTAGTAATTATAGGCGTCTAATGATTTATTTTTTACGTTACGGTATATATTATTATTAAATTTAAAATTCTAAATAATATTTTATAAAATATAAAAACAATCAAATAATTTTTTGTGCAAATGAAATTATTAAATCAATATTGTAGGTGGAAAACATGAAACATACTTAAAAAATATTGAAACATAAATTACATATCTTTAAAAAAAGTATCGATCCTTTTTATAAAAGTATGGACACTTTCAATATAATAGGTAAACATATGATGTAATAGGTAGCCCTTATATAATGTAATAGGTAATGGTTATATTGTAAAGTGTCTATCCTTTTTATAAAAGTGTCCATACTTTTTTCAATGTGGAAAACATTAATTTAAGGTTATCTTTTGAGTGAGTTTTAAGATATTAATTTAGTAATTATAGGCGTCTAATGATTTATTTTTTACGTTACGGTATATATTATTATTAAATTTAAAATTCTAAATAATATTTTATAAAATATAAAAACAATCAAATAATTTTTTGTGCAAATGAAATTATTAAATCAATATTGTAGGTGGAAAACATGAAACATACTTAAAAAATATTGAAACATAAATTACATATCTTTAAAAAAAGTATCGATCCTTTTTATAAAAAGTATGGACACTTTCAATATAATAGGTAAACATATGATGTAATAGGTAGCCCTTATATAATGTAATAGGTAATGGTTATATTGTAAAGTGTCTATCCTTTTTATAAAAGTGTCCATACTTTTTTCAATGTGGAAAACATTAATTTAAGGTTATCTTTTGAGTGAGTTTTAAGATATTAATTTAGTAATTATAGGCGTCTAATGATTTATTTTTTACGTTACGGTATATATTATTATTAAATTTAAAATTCTAAATAATATTTTATAAAATATAAAACAATCAAATAATTTTTTGTGCAAATGAAATTATTAAATCAATATTGTAGGTGGAAAACATGAAACACTGTTAAAAAAATTGAAACATAAATTACATAAGTTTTAAAAAAAGTATCGATCCTTTTTATAAAAAGTATGGACACTTTCAATATAATAGGTAAACATATGATGTAATAGGTAGCCCTTATATAATGTAATAGGTATCGTTTATATAATGTAATAGGTATCTATCTCGCATGTGAGTACTTTATTCCAACCATGTGACAAGTGTGACAACTCCATCAACTCACAACTCAGCTTTGAACTCAATCAATATTGTCTTTTAGCTTGATGGTTCATAAAGCATGTTACTTGAACAGTATGAATCAATTATGCAATTTTCATGTTCAATTTAACACTGCATTTCAAATTCATTTCATATGTAATTGGAGTTTGAATTTAAATTTCAATTTGAGTTTGAATTTCAATATATATTTCGGCTCCACTATAAATATTAGCCCAAGCCAATATGCATGTTATCATTGATTATTCCTAATTTCCATTGTTTTTTTTCCAACGTATAAACGCGAGGGAAATCCCGACCATTTTATTTTTTGGTCAACTTTAAAGCGTCAGAAACGTTTCGGGCGTATGATCTGGGTGGTATACAAGAAATGTAACAAATAGCAACTAAAATCATAAGTTGAGTACCACCCAAATCATAAGTCTGAAATACTTCCGATGCTCATCAAAATCCAAAGCTCATTTGGTGCCAAGCAAAAGGAAATCAAAATCCAAATCTCATATGATGCCAAGCAATAGGTAGTGGTTATATTGTAAAGTGTCTATCCTTTTTATAAAGTGTCCATACTTTTTTCACTGTGGAAAACATTAATTTAAGGTTATCTTTTGAGTGAGTTTTAAGATATTAATTTAGTAATTATAGGCGTCTAATCATTTATTTTTTACGTTACGGTATATATTATTATTAAATTAAAAATTCTAAATAATATTTTATAAAATATCAAAACAATCAAATAATTTTTTGTGCAAATGAAATTATTAAATCAATATTGTAGGTGGAAAACATGAAACACTGTTAAAGTATCGATCCTTTTTATAAAAAGTATGGACACTTTCAATATAATATAATGTAATAGGTAAATTTGCAATGCTATCGGTATAAATATACTGGTTTACTTATAAAATAGGTAAATATAAGCGCTACCTATTACATTATATAAGCGCTACCTAGTATGTTATTGTACTTTATAATATTTCCGGTTAAATAATATAACATAACCGGTCTAAATTTTAACCGGTCACTTGTTTAACCGGTCACGCCGTATATTAGCCGTTTTTTAGGCGCCGCACCGCAGAACGACCCAAACCAACGGAAACCTCTTTGATTTATCTGAAACAACTGTCCTTTTTTGTCCATCTATAATAATACCTGCCATTTTCCTCTCCTCTTTTTCATTATCACCAAACAAAGAGGTTCTTCCATAAAGGAAAAAAAACAGAGTTTTTTTTTTTTGACGGAGAGGAGACGGATTGGGCAAAATGGACGGTAACACTACGGAGGCTGAGCGGTGGCTGAGCATAGCGGAGAAGCTATTGGCGACGCGTGATTTGCACGGGACCCGAACCTTCGCGATCCGAGCCCGTGAATCGGCTCCTATCCTCGCCGACCAAATACTTGCGGTGACGGACACTCTCTTAACGGCACAATCTAATCCTCAAGATTGGTACGGGATCCTCCAACTCGTGCCGTTAACTCAGTCCATGGAAGTGGTGGCGAGTCAGTATAGGAAACTCGCTCTTCTTTTGAATCCTGGGAGGAACAGGCTCTCTTTCGCAGATCAGGCGTTTCGATTCGTTTGTGAAGCTTGGAATGTGTTGTCGAACCCTTCTAAGAAGGCCATTTATGATAACGAGTTGAGGTTCCTTCAGCATGGTCAGGTGAGTCAACCCGGTCAACAACATCAACATCAACAACAACAACAACAACAACAACAACAACAGCCACCGCTTCAGCAACAGCAACAAGAGCAGCAGCCGCAGACGCTGTTCATGCAATCGCAGCCACCTCCTGCGCCGAAGGAAACCCAAACGCTGTTTATGCAAACTCCGCAGAAAGAGACGCCGACGCAAGTTACTCAACCGCTATTCACGAGAAGAAGCCCTAGAAATACTGATAGAGACGGGAATGCTGATTTGGGAGGAGGCGGGCAGTCGGGTCTCAATAACAAGCCGCCGGATCAAAATCGGTCGGCGGAGCCGATATGGAGGAGGCAGATGAATCAGATTGGTTTAGGTGGGACAAGTCAGGTTAGACAGTCGGGATCAGTCGATTCCAGCCAAATTAATCAAATAAGAACCGATAACTCGAGTCAGTTTAATCGGGCTGAGCCAGCTCGTACGAGTCAAATTAATCAGACCACAACTCCTCCTCCTCCTAGGGCGGATAGTCAGACACAGTCAACTAATGTGACTCAGCCTAGAGAAGCCACTGAGGCAGAAGGGCTGACATTTTGGACAGCTTGTCCGTACTGTTACGTTCTCTATGAGTATCCAAAGTTGTATGAGGATTGTACAATGAGGTGCCAGACTAAGAACTGCAGGAGGGCTTTTCATGCAGTTGTGATACCGTCGCCGCCAGTAAATGGAAAGGACACGCATTTCAGCTGCTGGGGGTTTTTCCCGTTAGGATTTTCTAGGGGCGGTAATTTTCCTAGTTGGTCACCTATTTCAACCATGTTTGCTTGCCCTAGTAACCAGAATGCTGCAAAACAAAATACTGCCAAAAAGTCTGCTCCAAGAGTGTATTACGATGATGATGATGTATATGAAGAGATTTCTGACTCAATTGGGACTTATGATGATGATGATGATGATTGGCAGAATGAGAAGAGGAAGAAGGGGAAGAATGCTAAAGGGAAAGTGTCTGTGGGGAGAAATGTCAAGAAACCACAGAGTGAGGGAGTGAAGCAGCCGACTAATGAGAACGCTAATGTTGATCACAGTGGGAATTTGATTTGTGTGTCCACGGTGCCTGATGGTGTGCCAACTGCTGAATCGAGCCGAAGGGGGGTTGTTAATAGTGGGGGGAAGCAGATGGGAAAGGTGGCAAAGAATTTGGGGAAGTTGGATTTGAATGTGGAGTTTAGCAATGAAATTGAAGAACCTGCGCCGAGGAGGAATGAGGGAAATCAAGACGGCTATGGGGAGGAGGATAACATTGAAGGGAATGGGTTCTTTGAGGGTCTTGATGAGTTTTTGAATAGCTTACCTATACTTTCGGCTGTTGGGGATGATAAAGTTAAGGCTACTTAGTGAAGTAAGATCCTTTTTCTTTTGTTTTTGTTTGTTTTCTGCAGTAGTTGTAATCAAATGCTTGTAGTATTTAACTATGTGGAGATGCTTAGGGCCTCCCTTTATAGCCTCTTCAAGGTTGGATTTGACTGTATATTCTGCAGCATCATGTTTTGTCAACATTTCGATCGTTTTGTGCTGCCTATTTACTCTTAAAAGTTCTATTTGTCAAAATTTCCTGTTTGTGAGGATAATTTGAAAGTTCAGTACAAAATCATGATAATCTATGGATTGAAGATGGAATGTTCTGTCCACCATGATTCTGGCGGTGGCAGGAATTGGTGGTAAGTTTTCTGACTGTCTCTTTCTCTTTTGAGTTGAAAGAGTTATTAACCATGATAATTGCTTTATCCCCTTCTCTTTTCCCTCTTAATAAAAGGAAAAGAGAAAAGGCTGAAGCTTAGACTAAGGAAGTTGGAAATATGCTTCGAAAAATGTTGAATTGAACTATTCAAGTATGATCTTGCTTGCTTATGAGAAGATTTTAATTACTGGAATTATGATTCAATCGTTATGGAGCTTCTATGAATTTAGTTACTGAAGCTTTTGGATTTGTAAATCTGCTTCCTCTGTTCTAAGAATGAGTTTCGAAAGGTTATGGGGCCTCTATGGTTTTGATTACCAAAACCCTTCTCTATATTTACTCCATAAATAAGGCCTAAACACTTGATTTATTGACCCACCTTAACATACACCCTTTAACTTCAAAGGGAGGAATCCCAATTGAAGTTGTCAGACTCTGGTTTGAAGTACACGATTTCATCTTCTAGTTGCATATGCTGTGCAAACTTATTGTTATGCTAATCCCCTAACCATTAGCTTCTTATACCAATTGTGAGATATATTCCTTCTTATTGGGCTCAAAATCTCGGTACCAACATCATTCTAAATCTCCAGAAGTCTAATCTTCAGAAGATCTTTTGTATTTTGCTTGATAAACTCCTTGCCCTTATGCAGACTTAAAATCTGGTTTTACCTTTCCTTTGTTGCTTCTTGATAGCCGGTAACTGCTTTAGTATAGAATATTTTATTTACATATCAGCATTCCTGTCATCATTCACCAAGCAAGTGAAGATTTTTTTATGATTGAGTTGCTGTGCTCTTGTTTCATTGTCTTCTAACTCGCATCATTCTCTTTTGTTTTTAATTGCAATATCTAACTTGTTGATCAGATGTGAAAGTGTCCAACAAGTCATTCATTCTAATAATCAGTTTTAGTTTGTTGCAACATGGAAGGCTGCTGATTTTAAATGTTTCTATTTCTGTGTGAGGTAATTTTTTGTTTTATCCCTGTAGTTGTACTGATAATGCTTCAAGAGGCTTCTATTTGTCGTACAATCGAATTAGTGAGCAGGACATGTTGTAATGAGAAGTGCTTTGCCTGTTGTATAACTTTTTATTAGAATCCTTTTCTTTACTTTGTATGGGGTTTTGGATTGTTGTAATCTACTCTTAAGGGCATTGTATGATGCTGGTCTGGGAAGGCGTCACATGTACTCTGATTGTGAACTACGCTTTACCTGTCAAAAACTAGAAGCTGCCTCAGGATCTTTGTAGTGGTCAAATGTTGCTGAGCTTAAGATGCTGCGAATATGTCCAAAGGCAGTAGATGGATCACAGAGCACTTGGGATATGTTGGAGGGCTTTCTTTTCTGTCTACCATTCTAAACAATTGAAGAGTGTAAAGACTTATTGCTGTCTACTTCAAGGGCGAAAAAGGTACATTATCCATAAACTTAACAATATCTTCTTATCAATTTTTTACTAAGCATCTCCATTTAGAAGTGTGCAATGAATATTTGGTTAATCTTAGGCATGGTCGTAAGTAGTATGATTCTTTTGCATTAAAGTGGCGACGCGCCTCTGAATTGTTCGGGTAATTTGTGAAGTAGCTGTGGGACACAATGGCAGCATTGCCAAATGTGGGGTTTATGTAAATGATGCGATTCTTTTTAGATGGGCTATAATGAGTTTGAGACGCTTTGCATGGTATCTTGGGCACGCATTACTTATTGCCTGCTAATAGTTTATGCTTGCATTGGATTTCTCTAAGCGTAATTTTTTTCTTGTCATCAAATTTTCTAAACATGGGATTTAGAAAATAGAGTTGTTGAGCTGAGAAAATGTCTTCTATTTGCATCAGCAATAGGGTTGCACATTTGTCGGATTTCAATCCGATCCGGATCGGTTTTTATCCGATCCAGTTTTATCCCATAGAAAAAAAACCGGTTTATAAAATAACCGGTTTGGAGGGCCGGATATCCTAACCGGTGTAACCGGTTTCGATTTTAAAAAAACCGGTTTTTTTAAAAAACCAGTTATAAAAAAACCGATTTTAATATTATTAAAATTACATCGTCATCAATTGCAACAAAGTTTACGATAATTTGTTGAAAACATTTTGATATTTCGATATAACAAATTAAGTTAAATGAATTTTAAGATTTTCCAAATGATTTTCTAAGTATATTCGATATAATTATTAAAATATCAAAACATTACTCCAAATATTTCAAAAATCATTTTTAATCATTACTTAAGTGTAAAATTAAGTTTTAATCTTAAAACAATTTCAAAATAATCTTTCAAAGTATTTCGAACCATTTCAAAGCCAAAAATTTCAGATTGCTCATAGGGAACCGATTCCCCCCAAGGGGGTACTGATTCCTCCCTGAATGGTTTGGCTCCGAGATTTCCAGAATGCTCTGAGGGAACCGATTTCCCCATAGGGTGTACCGATTCCCCCTATTCAACGGTCGAAATATTTGAATTTTACACTTAGGGAATCGATTCCCTATGAGAGGGTACCGATTCCCCCACGCTCCAAGCATTTTTATTAAATGTTTTCACATTTAAACAGCTATATTATCTTCATTAATTATCACTAACGTTCAGAAGTGATTCAAGGTGTATTTAAGCAAGCTTAGAAGCCATTGATCAAAGACAAGAAACATCAAACAACTAGAATCAAGAGAGAATCAAAAGAGAAAGCATCAAACCTCAAGTTCGATAAATTCAAATACTTAATTGAAATACTTAATTAACTTAACATAATTGAAATACTTAAATACTTCCAAGTTTGATAAATTCAAATACTTAAAAACTTCCAAGTTCGATAAATTCAAATGCTTAAAAACTTCAAGTTCGATAATTGAAACAAAGTTTACGATAATTGAAATAAAGTTTAAAAATAAACTACATTGCCATCTCTTCTTCATCATCTTCGCCTTCTTCGTTTGGAGGGGATATTCCAAGTTCGACTTCTTCAATGTGTAAGTTTGCTTCCAAATCGGCATCAATTGCATCTTCTAGGGTGGTGATATGTTGCTTACGAGCCGCACCATCCAAATAATCCTTTAAAAAAATGCATACTTCCATCGACTCGGGACTTAGTCTTGATCTCCGTTGCGATATAACCCTGCCACTAACAGAAAAAGCGGATTCCGAAGCTACCGTAGAAGCTTGGACGGTTAGTAAATCACGGGCCATGGCGGCTAGAATCGGAAATTGTGCTTCATTTTCTTTCCACCAAGCCAAAATATCCAAACTTTCAAACTCTTCAAATGTCATTTTTGATAGAAAATCGCATGACATGTAATTTCCCAACTCGCTACTTGGGGTGGTAGTACGTGATCGTTTGGATTGAGAATTTACAAGAGTGTTAAAAAGATTCAAATTTATGTTACTTGGACGTCTACTAGATGATTCCGCATTCATTCTCATTTGATCGTGTATTACACTACTTGATCCGTATTTAGTTAAATAAATTGCAAACATGTCTCGAAAACATTTGTTAAAATAATTTATTTGGTTTTGGACAAAGTTGGGTTCATCATCGGTTAGATTAAAAGCAAACGTAATTTGTTCAATTAGTGTTTCAACCCCACCAACATTTAACGTTGGGTTTAAAGCAGCGGCACAAGTAAAAATAGGAGGAATCTCCTTAAACTATTTTAAAAGTTTTTCCTTCATTGCAAAGCCAATTTCTTGAAAAACTTCGGTTTCAAATTCAAAGTCATTTAGTCGGGTAGCTAACAAAAATATTTGATTAAAACTAACGGGCTAGTAGGGTAATAAACACCGGATAAAAAAGTTGTTGCATTTTTAAAAACCTCAAGCAAATCGATTATTTTGGCTATAGTTTCCCAACTCGAATCCGGATAAATGTTTGGGACATGACCCCTCTCGAAAAGCCGATCGTGAAATGTTTGCAATGTTTCCCTTTGCCTTAAGGCAGTATGTATCATCATCCAAGTTGAGTTCCAACGAGTTGGACAATCCAAAATAGGACCCAAAGCTTTTTTATTAACGGACTTACAAAATCGTTTATAATCATTTAGTCTTTTGTTGTTGTTACAAAGAACCGATTTTATCATTGTTTTAAATTCTAATCTAATCGGCTCAATAACCTCCAAACCGGCTTGCACGGATAAATTAATTATGTGTGCAACGCAACGGGTATGAAAAAAACGTACCGTCTAAAATTGGTGAAAGTAATATTTTCAATCTTGGAACCGCGTTTGTATTATTCGATGCATTATCAAAGGATATAGAAAAAACTTTATTTTCTAATTTATAAAGACAAATTACCCTTTTTAAAAGTGTAAATAAATTAGCACCGGTATGCGGCTCACCGAATAATTCAAACGCGATTGTTCTTTTCATCATTTGCCAATTATCTTGATCTAACCAATGTGACGTAACAGCTAAAAAAGAATTTTCGGTATTATGAGGGGAACTCCAAACATCACATGTAAGCGACACACCATAACGATGTTCTTGGAATCCTAAAATCATTTTTTCCCTCGCCGTACGCCACATTTTTATAGCATCTCTTCTAAGGGTAGTACGACTTACTTGAGTATAACGTGGTTGCATTAGTTGTTGAATTGGTGGTCGAACGACAATGCTTTTGTAATCACGAATTTTGTAAACGCTTCTCGTAATTTTTCGTTGTCGTAAACAAAAACACCACCTTACGGTGTAAGATTCGATTGACTAGGATCCGATCTTGAGCGAAGTGCCTTGCATGATTTTGTCAAATGGTTCTTCAACGTTGTGTTTCCTTCCGATGCAAGAAATTTTAGACAAAGTTTACAACGCGCCCTCTTCGAGCCATTTGACATCTCACATAAATCGTAGTGATCCCAAATATCTTTGTTTCGAGTGTTCGATCACTCTCACAACTTCAAGGTTTCCCCCGACGGGAGATTCAGCCGTGTTACTCATGATGAACAAAAAATTACAAAAATAAGATTTGAGAGATGTTTAAGTGTTGTGTAATAAGATTTGAGAAAGTTGATATCAACCAAATACATCTCCAATCTATTTATACATGTTTATGGTGGTAAAATGGTAATTTTTTAAAGAAAAAAACGGTCACAAAACCCCCCAACGGCTATATTAACGGCTAGTTTTTTAAACCCATACCGGTTTTTTTTTCCGGATAAAAACCGGTTTTTTAACCGGTTTAAAAAAATTCGATCCGGTTAAAAAAAAATCGGTTTTTCCCAAATCCGGTTTCAGATATTTTTTTCGCAAAATCGGATATTCGAATTTTTTGTGCACCCCTAATCAGCAACCATGAATATGGCGTAAAAGGCATTCAGATAACAGTATGATTTGAAATAGGACTAATCTTCAACAGATTATTTTGAGTTTTCATTCTTGTTGGTTAATTTTAAAATTTGTTTTTTAAATAGAGGGAAATTATTTAAAAATACAGGAGAGTTTACAAAAATACTAATCGTACAAGTATTTTCCCCCAAAAACTGTCCAAGTGTGTGTTGTAACCGCATAATAATAAAGTTAAAATTTAACTAAATAATTTGAACAAATGAAAGATGCAAGTTGGCTGTGAAGGATAATATTATTAACATTAACGTAAAATTACATATAACAATGATATTTTGCTGATCAAATAAGATCACAGTAATTCAATTGTAATCTATCTTTTATGAGTCGACTACAAGTGTATCAATATTCAATATAAGAGACTAAAATAAGACTAGATTAACGATAATCGAATAAACGTCTAGAGAGATGATGTTAACTCTAATCTTAAGAAAAATCTGCTACAATAATATACAAATAACGTGCTACAAGAGTAGATAAAATTATTTACATTTAAATAAAAAAAATAAGCTATCAACAACTGGTTTGAAGTTGGTATCATTGCAAACAGTGAAAAAAATCAAAAAGTTAGAAGAGGAGTGACACAAGGAATTAAATTTTTGAAAATTGAATTAACTTGATCAAAATCATATATTCCAAAATTATTTTGCGGTGGTTTGAAAAAATAATTTCAAGTTTTTGATAACTCATTAAAAGATAGATTTGTCATCGATTATTTTGGGTTAGATATGATCGATTACCTTTAAACTTAATTTGCACATAACATCGAATTTGAAATTTAACTCGAAAGATCGATTATATGTGAGGAAGATTAGAATACTCACATCATTTAAATTGATACATTAAAAAGAATCAAATGAGAATAGAATACTCCACAACACTCAAATTGATACTTTAAAGAGAATCAAATGCGAAATATATAGAATAAAAAATGTTAGTCTAATAACATAAATATATATATGTAAATAAATAATCCTAAAAATGATCAATGAATGAATGAATTTACTTGTTAGGATTAAATTACACAAAACATGACTCATAAGGGACAAAATGATAATTAATATATAAATCATGACTAAGGTTCGTTTGGTAATGCT